GTAAAACATTGCAGTTTTATAAAAAGTTAAATGTTTACTTTACAGGGTTAAATGCACATCTAGTGGTTGTAGAGTGTAACTCAATCCTGGAAACAAATGCTGCAGACAGGGTTCTTCTGCTCCCCTCCCTCACTCCCCCCCTACACTGGCAAGTAAAGAGTTAAATAACCACTTTTTTCATTTACCTGATTCCAATGCCAAAGTCCCTTGATGCAGGGTCAGGCTTGCCCTCTGCCAACGGATGGAGGGGACCTAATGCGCATGCACGAGGACCGCCACGCACATTAGGCCTTCTCCCCAGGAAAGCATTGCCTCAGTGCTTTTAGAAGTTGCTGGATACAGTGTGAGGACGTCCGGCATCATACCACAAAGTCAAACTCCATCAAAGGCCAGGAAGCCATTTTAGTAGCTGTCTTAAACTTGCAATGTAAACATTGCAGTCTCATCCAATAAGCTACAGACACTGCTTGGCTATTGATATCACATACACCCTGCAGTACTGTTTTAAATATCAGTAGCTTTTACTAAAGGTTTAGAAATTGTGATGATTCCAAGATGACAGCCCCCAAAATGAAACACTAATAGATCTTCAAGAAATAATTTCCCCTTAATTAACTGTAACGTGGTAACATGGAAAGCATATTAACCTATTTGTATTATTGTTTTACATTGACTTGTGGAAATACATTTTCTGGTGACAATATCATGTTGGTCATGACAGGTGCATTTTAATGACCTCATGTCAAAATGGGATGTCACACTAATTTAGTGACAGCAAGGTTGTTTAGACATAAATAAATAGAACATTTCATGCTGACACAGAGCCTTGGGAGATTAGATCATGATGATGGCATTAAAGGTCCACTGCTGGACAGGAAATAAAAATCAGCCCTGGAAAACTATTTATACCAACTCTGTAAAGCATTGCTCCAGCTTAGTGTACAGATGTACAGGTGGAATAAAAAAAAAAAAAATAGAAATTAATTTCTCTATCATAAAGGAAAGCACTTGCAGGATTTCAAAATAAACAAAAGAACTTCCTTGTTTTAAAGTGACAGTCTGAGCACCAAAACACTTCATCTTAAAGTATTTACCGCACAGTTTCTGAGAAATGGCACTATTTGCTGTGTGCAATAACCACGTTCCCAGTGGCTGTCAGAGAGACAGCCTCTAGAGGCTCCAGACTGAAAAAGATTCAGAAACAGACAGGGTTATTTGCTAAAGTGGGAATTCAAAGTGAATTTAAAATTTAAGGCTGTAGTTGCCGAAATAAAAGTATAGCTGACTTGGAGAATTTTTCCAGTTTGGCTATTTTAGCCTTAAAGGGACACTCCAGGCACCAGGACCACTTCTGCCCATCGGAGTGGTCTGGTTGCCAACTCCCATCACTCTTAACCCTGCAAGTGTAATTATTGCAGTTTTTATAAACTCAGAGACAGCCACTAGAGGGACTTCCGGGTTCTTACACGATTTTTTGGTTGCTTAAACAACGCTGGACGTCCTCATGCAACTCCAGCGTCTCCGGAATCTCCATAGGAATGCACTGAATAATGCTTTCCTATGGGGAGGTCTAATGCGCGTGCGCGGCCATTGCCGGGCATGGGTGGAGCTTGTCCCAGCACCGATGTCACCTCGGCTCTGGATTCAGGTAAGTATCTGAAGGGGTTTTAAACCCTTCAGCAATATGGGATGGGGGCAGGAGGGAGGGGGGAACTGTAGGATTCTCTAGTGCCAGGAAAACTGGTTTGTTTTCCTGGCACTGGAGAGTCCCTTTGAATTTGAAATTCACTTTGAATTCTCACTTTAGTAAATAACTCTGTTAATCTATTTTATATCAGGCACCAGCATGAAAAGTGCGTCTCTGTGACAAAAGGAACAGTTGGGGATTTGAAAAGGAGTCTGTCTCACAACATGATTTCAGATACATTTTATGGTTGTTTTTTTATTTTTTACCTAAAAATGGAAGCCATTGATGTACAGTTATAAACCATATAAACAAAATATATTGTTTTGTTTGTGGGTTTTTTTTTAATTAGAGTTTTCATTTAAGCAGACATATGCAACAGTAGACTTAGCTTGTTTACAGGCCGGTAGGTAAACTGGCAATGGCAATGGCATCTGCAGTGATAATAAAAATGTATTTTGTATATAAAAATGTATACCATAATAATTGCTGCCGGTCAGGAGTAGTGGGAGTTTGAGCACAGTGCTTAATTTTGTGTGTATTTACAGACCTGTTACACAGGCTGCCATAAATATCTTACAAGAACTCCAACGTTAAAAATAAATATATTTATTTTTCAATTTAGACTGTTTCTTGTAAATTTAGATTCAGGACCCCTTTAAAAAAAACAAAAAAACATGTTTTATAAAACCATAAAACTTACCTGTAATACATTACTGTGGTAATTTCATAGCAACAGACCCACATACCTATGATGAGACCATGAACACTAATAAAGGTTGATCCAATAAGATCTTTCTCATAGCTCTACATTGAGGACCTACAGTGCTGCACTGAACCAATCCAATATTTCTCACGCCTTCAAAAACAAAATGTCTTAAAGAAACATTCCAATTAAGTGAACTTAAAAAAAGTTAGATTAGTTAGAATGCCATTAATTACAGTGCCGAGAGA